AAGGGGTAACCAGTGCTGTGGGGGTAGGAAGGGGTAACCAGTGCTGTGGGGGTAGGAAGGGGTAACTAGAGTTGTGATGAGATTGTAAGACAAGATTTGGACAGCAATGCAAAATGGCATCCTCGGCATTATCTACTATTTCCCAGTAAACGGTTCTTCTTTGAAGCACACAACTCACAGAGATACACCTCCATAGTTTTATGCCAAACTTTTATAATTTGTTCATGTCCACCATGTAAACCTACATGTACAAGTCTCATATATCTCGCGAAGGCAGCTGGAAAGTTTTTACTTTTTAAAAAGATACTGGATTTTGGGATATGCATTCATGTCTGGTCATTTTAGGAGGCTGGTGTTTAGTACTCCAACTTAAACAATGCTAGGGATGCTAATGCAGTCGCCAACCTCTTTCCCCATCAGTCTCGCTCTAATAATTCCTAATGGCATAGAAGATATTACTGTTAAAATGCACAAACTGTATCAGTAAAATGTAGATTTACCATAGTAGTACAGTAAACTCTGGCTAAGTCGGCACTCCCGGGACTCAAGAAATTATGACGACTTACGCGAATGCCGAATCGTGCTGTACGTCCTGATTTTGCTGACTTACACGTACACATGTATTGCCTATGTACATTATGATTCCTTGCACCAATTCAAAGGCTTTGATTTACCCTGGTTTATTTCTACCTCCATGGTCGATCCCAGCAAATTCATTCTCGATTATTGTTCTCACGGGCTGCAAATTCGATAATTGATCATGTGCCCCTAAGGACGAGGCAAGGATAGCAAGCCATTTGAATATCACATCATGATTCGACAGTGCAGTATGTACATGTACGCAATAATCTACGGTACAGAAAACATACACTCATTTGCACACGCATTGGTTAAGTTCATTCAATAAGTCGACCCCCAAAACATACATACATGTAGCTCATGCGTGTAGTACTAGAGGGGTTACTGGTATTGATGTACTCATGATGGCCGATTATCAACCACGGCCTGTGCTGCTAATAAACAGACATCAGTCAAGCAGTGTGGGACTTGTCACTTCTCGGCAACCGTGGTGAAGGAAACTGATACCGAAGCACGCTTTTTTTAATGCCGACTTACAGAAAGGAATTTTTGTGGTTTTGTGGAAAGGGACCGAGAAAAGCATGCCAACTTATATGAAATAAAGACTTGTAAATGCCGACTTAAAAATGAAATTTTCGATGGAAATGCATTATAGACAATTGGGACTTTTGTCAAAAGGCCAACTTAGATGATACGACGAGTTACGCGATGCCGACTTAGTCAGAGTTTACTGTAGTTAGTTACATGTAATTGTACATGTAGTATTTTAACCTGCTATTCTGTTCCTTTGAATAAAATGTAAAGTCAATGAGATGTTAAAACTTAAGTGTTCAAGTATTAATTACGGTAAAATTTGGGCAATTTAGTCTTGCTTTGAAACACATTACATTTAATTTTAAGTCTGCAATTTGAGTCTTGCTGCATACTCAGTCTTATCAACACCAGCACCTTAATATTTGGGAGCATAATTGCATCATACGCATGGTTCACATAACTTTGTTGAATGAAGTGAGGGTAAATTTCTGAAGCCTTGAGGGCAGTCATGATGTAATTTGATTCCATTCAACAGTAGTCACGCAGCATGAATAGTGTACATGTGACCACCAAAGTATAATGATGTGCGGTCATCTTAGTACTTCTGTTTATTCTGTGAATGTTCATACCTTTATCTATAGGCTGTAGCTGTCGTTATGCACCTGTGCCAACTAATGGAAGTCATGATAACACTGGACCAACAACACAAGGTTAGATGCTTGCCAGTTAGTTTAAACTTGGGGAATGGTAAATTCAAATACTGGGCTCCACACACTGTACTTATGTCAACCTTTTTTGTCCCTCTTTGCAATTTTAAAGGGTTATTATTAAAACACTCAATGAAAGGTATTTAGCAAGCCATAGTTTATCTGAATACATGTACATGTATCTTGGTTTTATGGGATGACGTGAACCAGGAGGAGATCATGTGATGATCAATCAACCACCTGCTTCACATGGAACCAGTAACCAGCAACTGACTGCTTCTAGTGGTAAGTGTTCTGTTGATCTAAGTACCCAGGATACCTTCATTTTGTTTTCTCTCTCATGCATGTACATATCTTCTTGGCAAAAGAGAGCTGAAAATTGTTCCAGAAAGGATATTGTTAGTTCTGAGAAATAGATCCCATGGAATACATAATTTGAACTGTAAATTCATTACACATATCTAGACTGTGTTTAGTAAGTTGAATTTGGAAAATCAGTTGGGAACAATTTTATAAATAGAGGTAGACGTTTCCTGTTTTTTGTTTGTTTATGTCTAAAATGTAGATATAAGAAATAGTTCAAATGTAGCATTAATGCACTTAAAGCATCCCACAGTGCAAGCTTTTATTTATCAATTGTGGGGTGAAATTGCCATGGCTGGACAGAAGGTTTTTTAAAATTACATGCAAGTCCACATAGAACACTCGGAGACATCCTATAGTTTAACATCATGCTTTGGGTAACCTAAGAGGTTGGAAGCTCCCATCAAAGATTTCTTTAGAGACACAGTCACTTTATAGGACCTATGATTAAATCAAGTTGAACAATGTTACACTGTTAAACTGCAGTGTAAAATACCTTGTGAGACTATGTGCACACACTGACTGTTTATGGTACAGTTTGCATATCATTTCTATCAAGGGAGTTTTTTTTTTTTTTTATAATATGAATACTGTTGCAAAGTTAATCATAACTGTGAATAATGTGATTGGAGAACAAGTCCTTTTAGACATACTTTGCTTCGGGGAGTTGTTAATTCTAATTGTTTTGCCCTTTCACTGACGTATATACTGATGTGTGCATGTATACTCATAACACTGTATACGCAGTGTTTGCATAAGAGCTTATGGACAAATTAAGAAATTCACTTGTGAATAACAAGGATCATCATATATTCATCATCATGTATTGCATCGGGGAGATGTTAACATCTCCCTGATGCAATATACATGCAAAGCTTGAAATAGTTTGCGGTACACACTGTTACATCTGACTTGCACTGACCATGTCAACCTTTTTTGTCCCTCTTTGCTATTTTAAAGGGTTATTATTAAAACACTCAATGAAAGGTATTTAGCAAGCCATAGTTTATCTGAATACATGTACATGTATCTTGGTTTTATGGGATGACGTGAACCAGGAGGAGATCATGTGATGATCAATCAACCACCTGCTTCACATGGAACCAGTAACCAGCAACTGACTGCTTCTAGTGGTAAGTGTTCTGTTGATCTAAGTACACAGGATACCTTCATTTTGTTTTCTCTCTCATGCATGTACATATCTTCTTGGCAAAAGAGAGCTGAAAATTGTTCCAGAAAGGATATTGTTAGTTCTGAGAAATAGATCCCATGGAATACATAATTTGAACTGTAAATTCATAACACATATCTAGACTGTGTTTAGTAAGTTGAATTTGGAAAGTCAGTTGGGAACAATGTTATAGAGGCAGATGTTTCCTGTTTTTGGTTTGTTTATGTCTAAAATGTAGATAAAAGAAATAGTTCAAATGTAGCATTAATGCACTTAAAGCATCCCACAGTGCAAGCTTTTATTTATCAATTGTGGGGTGAAATTGCCATGGCTGGACAGAAGGTTTTTTAATATTACATGCAAGTCCACATAGAACACTCGAAGACATCCTATAGTTTAACATCATGCTTTGGGTAACCTAACAGGTTGGAAGCTCCCATCGAAGATTTCTTTAGAGACACAGTCACTTTATAGGACCCATGATTAAATCAAGTTGAACAACGTTACACTGTTAAACTGCAGTGTAAAATACCTTGTGAGACTGTGTGCACACACTGACTGTTTATGGTACAGTTTGCATATCATTTCTATCAAGGGAGTTGTGTTTTTTTTTTATAATATGAATACTGTTGCAAAGTTAATCATAACTGTGAATAATGTGATTGGAGAACAAGTCCTTTTAGACGTACTTTGCTTCGGGGAGTTGTTAATTCTAATTGTTTTGCCCTTTCACTGATGTATATACTGATGTGTGCATGTATACTCATAACACTGTATACGCAGTGTTTGCATAAGAGCTTATGGACAAATTCACTTGGGTGGGACTTGAGATAAAACACAAATATATCAACTAATTAAAATTAACATCTCCCTGATGCAATATACATGCATATCTTGAAATAGTTTGCGGTACCCATTGTTACATCTGACTTGCACCGACCAGCCAACTTGATGATTGAGTGGTTAAGATGTCTGCACTAGTATGCAGGTCTAGTACGTCACTATAAGGGCAAAGTCTTTTTAGTACATGAAGAAATTTTAGTCACACTGTATAACCATTCCAGCAGCATGGTGTATGTAGCTTATAGGTTGCTATTGTTTGCAAAGAAAGAGAAGCATGTCTGAAATGGGTAAACTACCGTACCCCATTTGTTCAACTTGAGAATTGTTCAAGTCTGAGAATGCACAGACAATTTCAGTAAAGGAATGTTTTCAGGAAGTTTCTATCGGGCATGGGAGGAAAACTCCAACGAAAACACAGCTTCGTTCATGATTGATTGAAAGCCCTAGTAATTCTATATTTTCTTCAATGACAGATACTGAATCTGTGAGCCCACCCACAACATCTGCAGAGCCAACTCTTGCTGAAACCACCAACTCCATTACTACTGCTGCAGAAATTCATACAAGTAAAAATTAAACTATACTTTTTGTTTCAAAAATCTTCCAAACTACTTAATCTGTGTGAACTTTATGTTCCAGGTTCAGAGCTGCGAGATGAAAAAGGAAGATTTTCTTTGGACCGTTATTGTTTCACAGAGACTTTGCTCATTGACTTTTAATGACATGTCAATCAAGATTATTAACAATAACTGGAAAATCATGAAAAGGTACAATTAATTTGTGTGCAGCAAGTGTCCTTCACGACCCAACACAGTAGCATCACTTGTACTGTACTTTAGTCCTTGAATAACCTATAAGTACATGTATCCAACGCCTGTTCTTACAATACACAATTATTTACTTGGTCATGACCATGAACTGGAATAAAGAATTTCTTCACTACACTTGAGTCTTTGACTTGACACTTGTCCGTCAATAACTGGTCAAACACTCGGAAACAACAATAACCCAATTTCCATGTACATGTACACGTATAACTCTCATTATCTTGAACACGTACACGAACACAAATACATGTACATGTACATCCATTTAAAACAAGCAATCCTTGTAATTCAAGAAAACTAAAAATGCACAAGTACCTTCGTTCCGGCATTATAAATTCTCATGAGTCACATTGTTATGTGGCAACTGAACTTATCTGCCAAATTCTGCATTTCTCACTAAGTACATGTGCGTATTCAGTCCATTCATCTGGAATTTCCAGATTGTTTCCATACTCTAAACACTACTCATTTACATGTACATCATGTTGTCCAACCCTAAGATCCATCTAAATAACCGTTCATCAATTCACACCTCTTGTAGGCCTCCATGTGCTTTATGATTTCTACTTGGCCACAATCAGAGAGAGACACTGGTCTTAAATGAATAGAAATTACTAACATTATCTCTGTAGAATCTAAGAAATATCTTATGTCCCTCGAGGAATGTGCTTATTTATCCCCAATGTCTTTGTGCAGTATTTACATTGTGCTTGTCACATGGTCTGAGAAACAACTTTCACTCCCTCTTCAATCCGTTTCAATCCTTAAATATCAATCCCCAACACAAGTAATGAGCTCTAAATGAACTTGAATATATGAAGATCCCATATTTGATAACAGGAAATGGTAAGTACATAGCTATGAGATGAAAAAGGAAGATTTTCTTTGGACCTTTATTGTTTCACAGAAACTTTGCTCATTTACTTTTAATGACATGTCAATGAGACAAGATGAAAAGCGCCCTCTATCTTCCAAAAGTCACAAGTATACCTAAAAAAAGTTGGGGGGCCTCAATTCTGATATGATTTTGAGAGAATTTGATGTACATTGTTCAAATAAGGCAAAATACATAATTCAAAGCACATTTTAGCATAAAAAACATTTACTCAGGAAATGAGAGGCTGGTAAAGGAAATGAGGGGCTGGTAACATTTATTTCTATGTTTTATTAAGTATATTATAAAGTATATTTAAAAAGTGAAAGTAACATTAACCCTGCCCCCAAGGACCATTGAAATCATGCTTGGTGGATTAAAATGGTCAGGGTTTATGTTTTGTTTTCTTTATCCCTTCTACTTAGGAAATGTTGAACCCACTGCCCCTCCAGCTGATATTTTACCAGGACAGTCATCCCTAAGCCAAACAGCACAACAGCCACCTGTCAGTACTTCAGCAACTACAGAGGTGCAGTCATCGTCAGCCGGTCAAACAGCACAACAGCCACCTGTTGGTGCTGCAGCAGTTACAGAGGCACAGCTGTCCTCCATTATTCAGACAGCACAACAGCCATCTGTCAGTACTTCAGCAACTACAGAGGTGCAGTCATCATCAGCCGGTCAAACAGCACAACAGCCACCTGTTGGTGCTGCAGCAGTTACAGAGGCACAGCTGTCCTCCATTATTCAGACAGCACAACTGCCACCTGTCAGTACTGCAGCAACTACAGAGGTGCAGTCATCATCCACAAAAAAAATAGTAAACCAGCAACCTCTCACTTCTACAGTAACTAGAGAGGAGCAGCCATCCACAATTCAGGATTTAGTAGAAAATGGAGAATCTCAGCTCACATGTCCCCATCCACCTTCCAGTACCACTACTACAGAAGGTCAGTCATCTGCTAGCCAAACAGGCCACCAAACACCTGTCAGTTCCACTGTAACAACAGAGGGGCATTTCTCTGTAAGCCATGATTCAACAGACATTGCAGATTCTCAGCAAGTATTACACCAGCCACCTGGCAGTGCTGCAGCTACGGTGCAACCAGTATCCAGTGAGTTGGTTTCCGAGACCCAGCAACCTGTCCCGCATAGGACGGAACCTCATACCAGTCAACCTTGCAATGTGATGGGTGATATTACAGGTAAAATTAATTTCAAGCTTGTGGTAAATCTCCTCAAATAGAAAACTACTGTGTTTCATGAAAGATGTGATGTTTAATTGTGAAACAATATACTTGGAAGGATAGTCAAACATACGGTAATCTGATGGTTCGTGAGTTTCTCAGTTGAAATAATGAAGCAAAACTTTTATTGAAAATATTTCCGAGACAGGCTTGTTTGTTGATTTATTTGCATGTACAATTTTATGCAACAGTGAATTGTAGAAATGGAAATTTAAAACAGCAAAATATGAAAATTCCAGTAGACAGTTTGTGCAAAATTAACACAACACTGAGATTTTCTCCCTGGAATGACATCACAGCTTAGCTCATGAATATAAGAAATTCACTTTACCCTATCAGCAAAAGGAACACAAGTACCATTAAGAACCAAACAAAAATTGAAACTAAGGTTAACTCAAATGCATCTTTTCATTATTTCAGAGGTGGTTGTTTTTGGCAGTGCCTATAATTCTTCAAATTATTATTCATGAGATTTTGAAATCTTTCTTATGTTTCTGTTATTTTTTCAAACACAAGATTCTTCATCTGCCTTTACTCCTAAACCTCGAAATCCCAACTTGATCGTTACAACAGAACATCTGCAGAAGCTTGCAAATGGCCTTGCACCATGGGAACGATTGGCAAATGTGTTAGGTCTGTCAGAAGCCGATATCTACAGACTGAAAGTTGGAAATCCCTTCAGTGTATGGACACAAGCATATGACATGCTTCTCAAGTGGAAAAACAGAGTATATAGAAATGCCACAGTTGGTGTGCTTGTCAAAAAATGTCAGGATGCAGATGTTGGTTCCAACGTATACGGATTTCTGCTACATGTAGATGTGTAAGCTGTTGGATGTCACCTTGGATGCATGGAGCTCCAAGCACTGCTTTGAAGACCTTGTCAATTTTACTATTTATTTGAACACTGCAGATTCCTATTTTCTATATTCTTTTATCACTTTTTACTATAAATTTAATAATTTTATATACAGGTACTTTATATATTTTCTCTTTTTGTTTTAAACATTGTATCATGACAAGTATTTTGAAGTAAATACATTATCATGTATATTTTGTAAGCACAAGTGCTCCAGTAAGTCTCCCCGTGTTACCGACACGTAATCCCCTAACACTACACTGGATTCCAGCAGGGTGTTAGACTTGTATGCTTACATGCCTGACACGAATCTGAGTTGTCTGTATACAACAGGCGGGGTTTCATGGATTGGTTAATTTACTGTAGATAGCTGCCATTTTTGCTTACACGTATAGACTACAGCAATCAAATCTTTGTCTGCTGGACTACGTGTTCAGTTTAGTACATATATGTACTGCTTATGTTGTTGAAATAGGGTTAGATACTGTAGGTGTTAGTCAGGTACATGTACATACATGTAGTTTTATATCCAGGTTATTCTTAGTATTATGCATGTATTTAATTAATTAATGTTTAGTCAGATCTGTCCTTAAAAAATCACATTTTCATGTACATGTATATATGGAATTGCCAGCTATATAATTTCCCTTGTGTACTTTGCTGAAAACAGATACTTCGGGTCATCTCCGTGAAGAATATACATTGTAAATACAAATACCAATACATGTTTTTTAGTTAGAGTAGGTGAAATACAGCTGAATGTACAAGGATGTGTATTGCTGGTTGTACGGTACTTTGCCATGAGACTCAAATACCTCTATGATAAGTTAAAAGTACCAAATTTCGAATTTGCAATCAAATGATCAAGTGTTGTTTACATCAAATTACCTTGTACATAAACATTTAGTTGCAGAGGTCTTTTGCTCATTTCCCCAAGAATAAATGCATGTCAAAGTCAATGGAAAAATTGAGGAGGGCAGCCGTATTTTGATTAAAACTCTTTTGGTAGAATTTTTTAATGCTTGTACTAACATACGTACATCAAATCTAACGAGGTCTGCACAGTACTGTCAAGACCAGCACATCATGTTTGACAAACTGATAAAGAAACACAAATTCAAGCAAATGAACCAATGGTATTATTAGATAGGTACATTGTACATGCAGGACTCACTGATGTCTTGCAAAATTGGTAAATGTGCATCTCTGCCGGGGAATCAATTTTAACAATGCAAATAGATAAATATTTTGTAGATGCTTACACAGCCCTTTATTTCACTCCCATTTCTCAAAGGCAAGTCATTGATTCTCTCACAAGTGGATTTGTAAAGAATCTTTTTCCGATTACTTTTACTATGCCTTTCAATCATTTCCAGAACTATACTTCTCTAAATGTAAAATGTCTGTAACCAAAAGAAAATATGAACAGCAACAATATTAAAACTACATGTAGATGAAAAAGAGTTGATGCATTACAGCTATCTAGTTTGTTTCTGAAGGTACTTGATTTGATTAAAATAAACATTTCAGCCTGTTACGTAAATGGATTTCGTCAATTTGTATCATCGAAAATCTCTGATCTGTTTGTTAAAGGTAACAGCAGTCATTAAATCATAACATTAGCCATTGAGAAAATATCTGGCAAAGACAAACGGTATGTGTAACTAGAACCAAAACTCAAAACATCTTCAAGTTGGAACCAATAATTCTGACAGATCATTAATTCTAAGACTAAAATTTTTATCATTCATGTTTTGATTGTACATGTATGTGGCAAATTTGTACAAGGGACTATGCTTTACAGGGCAGTCAAGTACATGTATATTGTGATCATAAATGCTAATAAAAATATGATACCACTATAAACACTGCCAGTTATAGAGCTGTGGATATTTTACCTTCGGAAACTAAATAAAGTGACTGGTTTGAAATGCTGGTATCATACATGTGCTTTGTGGGAAATAACCAAAAACACAGAGTAGGCACATTGAAATTGGTACGTTAAAATGTAATATGTCTCATCCTTTTAAATTGAAGTACGGAAGATACAACTGTACCAGAGTTTGAAGGAAAACTAAAATGTTCAAGCAATCATGTGTAAGGAATGTTAGAATTAGTTCTTTTATTGTTGAATTTGTTTTGATGAAAAAGTTTCCTTCTTTCTTGAATATAAAGTTTCTAATTACACGTACATTGTACATTTGTACATCAAGTGATTACATTCTTACACTTGACTTCCAAATCACTTGAATAGTTTCCTAGAGTAGTTACTCATGTATTTCAAATTGAAAAAAAAAAAGAAGATATACATCATGTACCAACATGTCCCAGAATTTGAAGGAGAATTATATAGTTCAAGCAGTAACATGTAAGGAAAGTAACAATTGATTCTTGTAATTCTTACTAAAGAACTTGTTCTGATGAAATGTTTTCCTACATCAAAGAAGTTTTCTTTCTTGAACACTAAACAATGGCTAATTACTGTAATTTATAATCAGTTGATCACTAAATTTTAAAAGCACTTGAATAGCTTGCTCACGTAGTTCTAACAACAAAGAAACAATAACTACACAATCTGAAATCATCCAACTGTACCTGCTTTCATCCAAAATTATGACAAATTTATTATTTAATTAAAAAGCTATATCAGATGTACATATATACGTCTGAATACTGACCTGTAATGAACAGGTTCATATCTGGAATTCTCCCTACATTTAATGAAATTATCTCTAATAATAACTGGGAGGTCTCCCACCCAAGTGGAATTTCTTATAATAAAGCCTAAATGTAAAGATCATTAGTCATTCAAAGTTTCTCTTGAATGATCTTAACAGTTTACTGCTAGTGTTCCCTCTCAGGGATACTTACTAGGTCAATTCTTCCTCTGACAAGTTTCTGACCTGATGCCCTCAATGACTGCATCACCTACTTTAAGAAGCCTATTCAGGTTTCACACTTGATCACATCCAAGCTTCCCAACCAGCATACACACGACCAAGTATGTTAGGATCAGTAGCTTGGTCAATTAGGCATTCCACCTGTGTCTCTACACTCAGACCAGATTTAGGAGATGAAGCACGGATGTTTTGGCTGCGATCACCTTTCACAACTTCTTTAATGGCAGAGAATGCTGGGTTTCTGCTATGGCCAAGAGCCAGCTCACGTCTAAAGAAAAAAGACATTCTTAAATTAATTTTTTAAGTACTTTCTACAAAAAAAACAGTAATAAAACTAGTTTTACATAAAACATTCAAATGTATATATAATGTGGATGCAAGCACTTTTCTCTACTATTCTGTGTACCAAGAAAGTAACTGCTTTGTTTCCTTTGTTGATGAAAATGCTCAATTATGATAGAAATACCCCAACTCATACAGGCATATGTATGTACTAGATTTCTTGGAGGCAAGCTCATACAGGCATATACATGGACTGGATTTCTTGGAGGCCAGCTCACACAGGCCTATACATGGACTGGATTTCTTGGAGGCCAGCTCATACAAGCATATACATGGACTGGATTTCTTTGAGGCCAGCTCATACAGGCCTATACATGGACTGGATTTCTTGGAGGCCAGCTCACATAGGCATATACATGGACTGGATTTCTTGGAGGCCAGCTCATACAGGCATATACATGGACTAGATTTCTTGGAGGCCAGCTCACATAGGCATATACATGGACTGGATTTCTTGGAGGCCAGCTCATATAGGCATATACATGGACTGGATTTCTTGGAGGCCAGCTCACACAGGCCTATACATGGACTGGATTTCTTGGAGGCCAGCTCACACAGGCATATACATGGACTAGATTTCTTGGAGGCAAGCTCATACAGGCATACACATGGACTGGATTTCTTGGAGGCCAGCTCATACAGGCCTATACATGGACTGGATTTCTTTGAGGCCAGCTCATACAAGCATATACATGGACTGGATTTCTTTGAGGCCAGCTCAAATAGGCATATACATGGACTGGATTTCTTTGAGGTCAGCTCATACAAGCATATACATGGACTGGATTTCTTGGAGGCCAGCTCATACAAGCATATACATAGACTGGATACCATGGAGGTGTCAACTGTTCTTAGAGTTGTATCTTGACTTTCAACTTACTGAGTGATATCAGATGGATTAGCTCCTTCTAGTTTCTTCTGAGCAAAGTTAACTTTCTCTCTTGGATACCATGATTCATCGAGGCTGTTTCCATCAGGATCGCTCTGTCCTTCAAGCACACGGCCAGCATCCTTCTGAGCTTTAGCCTGCTTGCTAGCATTGGTCTGACATTAAACCAACAGAATACTCATAAACATGTGATGTAATGAAAACAAAAACCCACTAAAAATTATTAGAAATCACAGACAGAAGAAATGGCAATGAAAAAACCTTATGGCTATTGACAACTCGCAACTGATCTCAACTATTAACTTACAGGAGTCAAAAGACAGAAACTGTCTGAGTACATATACATGTATATAAAGCTCTCAATCACCAAGCCCTTACATAAACACGGAAAGACTCATCCTATCCTGAATGATATACCTTCCAATCCAGTGATGGTTCCTTGATGAAGACATCCATAGTATTTATGAGTAGCTCGTGATTCTGTCTCAGTGCTCTTAAGGTATGCACCATGCTACTTTGAAGAATCCCTTCTTTCTTGAAAGGTAGCATAAGATTGACTATCTGACGAGTCAACCGGAAAGGCATCAACTCGGGTACTGGCAGAAACTGTGATCAAATTATACACAGACACCAAAAACAGAATAAAACAGTCAGTTTGAAGATGGCAAATGAACTTAATATCCATGTATTAAACAAGGGGGATGAGTTGGGTGGAATTCAAGAAAAAAAATACAAATTTGAGCAATAGATTGCTTTAGCAGGAGCTGTTCTAAGGAGAAATATTAACACACTACAAGTTAAAAGTAAGCGCAATCAGAAAAATGAGGTCTTGGAAGTATTCAATGATGGAAATTTACAAACCTGGGTGGCTGAGCCAAAAGCATGACCAAAATCAATACCGATCATGCCACCTGTCTTGAGGCTAATCAGAAAATTGGACAAGTGGCGATCGCCAATACCTAAGATGTACTGACAGATACAGATAACAGCATGGCTACGTGCAAAGTGTGACCTCAAGGTCAAAAAAGCTTCAGGGGAGGCACTCAGCTGTATGAAGGCACGTCTGCAAGAAAAACAGAAACCTATTGCAGTAGACACAGTAATCCTGAATGAAAATGTTGCAAAACAATGTAACTGTATGTAGCCGTTGCATGGATTAGTTCAACAGTAACATCACAACATACAATTCTCATATTTCCTGTAGGATACCTTGGCATTTCCTACCTCATTAGATCCCATGGGACAAGAGCCTCCCAACTTCTGAAACACTTTACTGTATCCGTGTAGTTGGCATGCCTGAGATAAAAAACTCCCAATCAAAATCACATGGTAAATGCATGATAAGCACAGTTCATTTTATAGCGACATAGGAGAATCATATTACAACACACCTCTAAACATGGCAAACTCAGGAAATAGAATGCAAACTGTTGTCTCATTGCTGCTAATGTACACATGATAGAAACAGGATCTCTTTGTCAACGAACCAGACAGTGAAAACACAAAAATGCCAACAGATGTGTTTTCAGTGACTGGCCAAGAAACTGGACATGTGTAATGATAGCCAGAGCAGTCATTGGGTGTTTGTATCAAATCACGTGTTGGTGTGTTTTTACATGTGACAGTGATTTCACTTAGTCCCAAGGAGTACATGTACATGTATTGTTGTTCACTATTGTTTAATATTCAAGACCACCCATACTCGAGGAATCTACATTTGTTGAGAACGAACAAACTTCCCAGATGATATGCTCTGTGTGAGACATTTTTCTGATTTGGGATTTTCTTCCTTAAACCACAACATTCTTATTTTTAGGCCTTTAGAAACTGAAACATTTGAATGGTTCTGATTATAAAACTGGAAGAGTTGGCAAGCACAGTACAATCATAGTACAACTGGAATACCTTGGTTTATCCATTTACCATGTAAACATTTAAAGTATGGTTACTTTATGGTACAACAGACAGTAGGAACACATTACAGAAATACGACATTGGTACATCATGCACATTGGCTCTCTACATGATCACTGACGTGACTTATGTCTCACAAAAACAAAAACAGCTCTTTGAAAACCTTAAAGATGGAGTAATTGGGTTAGATGTTAACTAACTGTTTAACTGACATCACTAACCGGTACACTGCTCCATATCGGACTCCATGGTTAGACTGGTTCCCTTTTGCATACTTATCCACCCATTCACTATGTTGGTACCGTGGTCCATGGCTACAAAGGTAAAAAATAACTTTGTTATGAAAAAGCTTGCAGGAAAAAAAAACAACTCTCCAAAAAGCTGGCAATGCAAAAAAAGTTGAAAGGTTTCATGGTACTGTCTGTCTTTGACAGTGGATGTCAGATCTTTTCCGTACGTGCACGCAATGCACTAGTCAGCTGTTCCATCCAATGAACAAGTACCTACTCACTGTTTATAAAGGCTGGGATGACAATCAAACACGACTAGCACAAAGAGCCTAATCATGGCCATGTGAATACTCTACAATTGTTTTGAAAAATACTTGTAAGTACTCCATGCTAGATGCATGCATGCAATAGGCACTCTGTAGGAGATTATTCTAAGGTAAAGACCCCTTAGTTCAGCCAACGAGCATACCTAACTATATTACACCTAAGTTTGACTCATCAAGTTTCAAACAGCAATCTTAAAGATCTGAAATACCCCTATAACCCTAAAAGAGTTGGGGGGGGGAGAATCCGTCCCCTTCGATGTTTTTTTCTGAGACTGACACAGTGTATGTTATCCCTGCACCAAGCCTTCAGAAGGTTTTCAAGTCATTGCTTGTAGACATTGGCACAAATTGTGCAAATTGTGTAAAATCACAATCATATATATTGCAAAATGTCAATTTTTCTGACACAGTTTCTCCCAATGATTTGCTTTACTTGAGGCCACTGACTCCAACCCATCACAGGCATGCCAAGTTTCCAGAATATCGGCATTTGACGGCTGAGCTGGGGAAGGGGGGGGATTGGCTCTTTTAGAACTGATCTCAGATCAGTTCCCTTGGCAGTAGTTACGTAGTACAGACTGCATCATTACAATTCTGTCATCAAATTATAACCTACAACTAAGTCAAAGATAATTTACCGTGAATTGTAAGCGTTGCCTTCTTGCTCAGTCATGGCCAAATGCAGGAATTCCTTCAAAGTTGTTGTGTTTTGAGCCCATTCAATCATACCAAGCCTGAAACCATAATAAAATGAAATCTAAGATCATGCTCATAGACTGCAGTGACCAGGCTATTGTTGATATATCATTTTCCTTTGATCTTCATGAATGTACATGTAGGTGAAGGAATCTGTGGCTCATGTGTACAGTTATTATGCTGATCTAACTGATATACTGTATAAGAGGTAACACAACTCAAAGGAAATCTGCACAGTGCTGGTAGACATGACCAATGTCAATGTATTCACAAGAGTAAAAGGTGAATGGCTCATCAGCATACATACACGGTACCCATGAACACCGATTGGTACTAAAGATCAGATTATCTTGTTCTCATAATCTAGCTGTTCCGATGGGGTCAAACTAGTGTTGGACATCAGCAAATTTCATTTGTTTTATTAGACAAGTTTTTACCCGTACCTTGGTGTCATGGGAATAACTTCATAAGTGACCAATTGCAGGCCTTGTTGGCTGCATGTTGAATCTTGTTCTAAGATACTATTCATAATTCTGAAGAGTTGTTCCACCCTCTGATCTAATCTAAGGTCCTCCCCGCCTTTGACAAGGAACGAGTAGTCATGTTCATCATTGCCACGTATCACAATGCGCTTCGGTTTGCGCATTGAAGATAACACTTTGACCTGTAACAAAATTACATAACAACGCTTTTATCTGCAAACTTGTCGGCACCATTTTATCTTTACATACTCAAAGTTCCCCTACTCAAGCATACACCATTACATAAAGAAATGATAATCTGCAGACAGGGACAATTAAACATCAATGCAAAGATGCCTTATTACATTGCCAACATACCTGCTCATCAAATCCAGCTATTTTGACATGATACTCAGGCAGGGGCTTTGATTTTCCTCCATACTGACCTGGTGAACAGAAGATAGCAATATGAGGAAATTACTGCTTACCCTACAATGATGGCTTGCTTATAGTTACTGCTTGAAGACAAGCAGTGTAAAGGTACTGGATTTTCCAGTGTTCCAGATTTTCCAGTGGATTTTAGTGTTCTTTTGATTTACTTTTCTACATGTGTATTCTTAATAATATTCTTCATGACTTGTTTGTAAATTTATTATATCAAAAGTACGGGGTTATGGATATAAATGTTGATCTCGGGTATGATGTTTCTAACCTCCACAAAGCAGGAGTATGCCACTATGTTCCAGGTTTATTCTTTTTTGAGTAGTTGACTACTTTTCAAGGCTTAGCTTATATATCAACAAAGGAGGTATGTGCGAGTGTGATCAGAGAACTCATGTTTTAATTAGTATGGCAAGGAATATACTTAAAAATCTGGACTATGTTTGAGTACATTACTCATGTTAATGCCACTGTGCACATTAGTGCATGAACAGGAGTATGACCTATATATTCTCCTGATCAGCCGAGAAGTATATTCCTTCATCAAGTGGTCATGGCAAGAGCATAACCATTTTTCCATTCACATACTGTGATCCAAGAGTAATGTACACATAACGTTTTCCTACACCCCCACATATTGAGAGTGATTTACATGTATATTGCAGACTTGAATCCCTTAGAAAAGGTTTAAATTGAGTACCACTTCTTTAGACTCGGAACTTGCAACACCTAGTCAAATCAATGTTTGATGTATTCAAAGTCTCACCTGGTATTTCTAGCTCTCTATCATAGCTGAGTTGTTGGAAATCACTGAACCATGTTGAATATTCCTTCAAGTTGCCTGGTGGATCTCTTCGCTTTGCGGCCATCTCCTTGTACAGCTTACCATAATGCTCAGAAAATGTCTGTCAATGTCGATATAAAATGTATAAAAATGGCTTACAGTCAATACATTCCAGAAACAAATATCTTTCATATCTAAAATGGCAAAATTAAAAACCTCATCTGTACTATTTGAATGGACAATGTCAAATTTTCCAGGATAATTGTATACAAAAACACCAGAATTAAAAACAACAGTCTCCTTCTAATGACTTGTAAATAACAAGTCCATGGGTTATTTCTCAAGTTGCAGAATGATGAAAGCCAAAAAACTGTTGAATCCAAAACTGACCTTTAACTGCATGTCAATGACTTTGGTGCCGTCTTTGCCAAAAGCAGCTTCAAACTTCTTCTGCCACTCCTTGATTACAATTAAGTCAAAAAAGCACTGCAAATAATAAAAGCTATTTACGGTATACACATGCTCAAAAACTACGGTACATTTTTTTTTGTTTGAAAAAAGTGTCCAGTGGCACTTGTGAGTGCGACTAGTTAAAAAAGAGCTTAACATTGAGGTCTGGAGAAACCCAACATAACAGCACAAAGATTTGTCTGAAGTTTCCAAACCAAGTGTGAACTCTGTATTAGGAAGATCTGCAACCCCCCCCAATTATCTGCCTTACAACCGTTTTAGACAGTCGTTCTGTAACCTCCCCTCTCCCAATTACCTGCCTTACAACCATTTCAGACAGGTGTTCTAGGGTCAAGCCAAACCAATTAGAATTTAGAGCGCCTCGGGGGCAGCCAAATTAAATTCTGGTTTCAGACAGACGAACTTAATTAATGCACTGGGTTTGGCCCACGAAAAGAGCAATGCCTGAAACCAAGTTGCTCTGATGTCGTTCCGAGCATCTTCAAGAGTTGATTTTTTGCCTACTAGCACGCCCGGTCGCTCCTAATTATTTCAGACATCAAACTTTTACAGTACTTAATTCAAAATTTGCTTGTAACCACTACCTGCCGGGGACTCCGAAATCGGAGCCGTATGGTTTATATGCGTGGCCGGGGTCTCTGAACTCAGACAAAGGAAACAGGGCCCTATAACAAAAGACCGTACTCCGAACAAAAGACCAGGCTGCTGGGCATTACCGGCATTTTTCACTCTCAAAAGTGGTGATAATCCAGCATTGTTTTGAAACCGTATACCAGGGTTTGGGGCATTGAGAGCAAGCGGATTACCACTGGGGACAAAAGCGCTTCACCACTGCAGCGATGAGCCACACAGCACCGCTGCACACTAATCTGGCCAGGTTCGTGAACAAAAGACAGATGTATAACAACGCACAATCTGGGCTCTNTTAATATCAATTCAAGCGCATCCTTTCTGCAGCTAAGGACTACCACACCGAATCAAAAGTCTGACAAGTAAAATGAACAAAACATGGAAAAAAGGGTGAAATTACGGCCCTATCAGAGAAAATGGGTTAAAGCAATTTTCACATCAGGCTTTGGAAACACTTAAGTTTATTTCTTCTGTCTCCTGCACAAAATCTGCACATTCTCACACACAAGGGAACAGTTAATGTTAAAGACAGCCAGTTCTACTGTACCTCTTTAATCATGAGTTGCATTGTATCAGGACATGCTTCAACAAGCTGCAGTAACCTTGGAAACCGTTGCCTAGCCTCCTGTGAGCTATAATGCATAGCCTTGAGGGTGTAATGTACCACAGTTTGGGAGAAGTTGTCAGTCTGGGGCAGGTAGGTCATGGGGACTTCATCTAATAGATAAGAAAAATCACTTTGAATCATAAATTGACAAATTCTTGGAGTTAAGGGGGAGACACTTGGTGAGGTGTGGGCTCCCCAACCAGTTTTTACAAAACACACAGTTTTTAAGTAGTATTGGTTTAACGAGGAAGATTTTTAAAATAGGTAAAAGTATATGCAGATTATTGCTATCTCTAAATGCCTCTTGAAACAAATTTGTTTTCTATGTAGAAACCTTACATCACTGAGAATGGAAACTTTACACAAAGCAAACTGTTGTCTCACCTGACTCCTTAAGACGTAACATCCTATCACAGAAACTAACTAATGCCATGTATGCTTCAGTCATACTTCTCTCTGATTGTGATGTGACTGCATCATCCTTGTCAGCAAGAGAAACTGCCTGCTTCAGTTCACTGTATGCCTTGGAGTATAAGGTGCTACATATCTACAACATCATGACAAGAATCAGGTAATGAGAGACTCTTTCAAGTCACACAACTCTGACTGACTCTGTTTCTAATCTTTTAGTATATGTCATTTAAATTGCTCTTACATAATTGTTTCAGTTTTCAGGGGAGAACTCACCTGTTCAGGTCTTGTAGCATTCTGGCCAACGAGACCAAGCAGTTTATCCAGTTTACCAACATTTCTTAGTCCAGTGAGGATGTCTGCCCCTACACAGGAAAATAACAACCAAATACACTTGGTTTATTACAAACCCTCAGAAATCAAACAAACCTATAAACGACTGTTAAATGGAATGATGAATTTTTGAAGGATTTTGAAAACGGAAAAAATGATAGTCATGCCGGCTCAGCATCATCAACGTTGAAAAATGCCCCGGCACGAAGTGGTTAAGCTGGTTCAGCGCGACTCTGGAACAGGTGTTATAGCCTTGGAGATCTATCAAACATTCTGAAGACTAACAGCCCTCTTCTAGTGTAACATATATCTGAAGTTTCTGAACCACATGTAAACTCTCTCTTTGGACATACATGCATTGTAAACCATTATTATTATTATTAAACCGCCCTCCCCCATCACCTGCCCAATAGTGATTTATGAAACACATAGAGTAACAAACCTTCTACCAGTGCAAAGATTTGTCTGAAATATCTGAACCTTTGGTGAGCTTTGACTGTCTTGTATAAGCATTGCAAAGGGGTTGGGGGGAGAGAACTTACTCCCTTCATAGAGCCAAAAAAGGAGAAACAGAAAGAGAACAATTCACTTTGACTCAATCTATCTTCATGAAAAAAGTTACTGGGAAGGAACGTTACAAGGTCTTTAGAGTTTGGGGCATTGTTTAGGGAAGGCATGGCCCTCACTGTCCCCCTTTTGCTGGGAAGGAACACAAAATGTAAGNAGACGTAATTTTGAACAGCAGCCTAACCATGAGTCAAATGATTTCATTCCACATCCCCCTCCCTTTTCAAGTTTGTTTGCTTGTTTTAATGGTTGAAAAAACTGACAATGCTCTATTCTGTTATGCAACAACTCGATTTTCCCCGACAAAAAAACACTGAAGATCTATAAACACAAGTATGATCAAGCCCAAAACTTGACAAAACATTTTATCTGGAGTTTCCATACCAAAATTTACATTGGTTGTCTTTTTGAGTGGGCCTTCTATTCCTGCCACAAAACCTTAACACTCCATCACATTAATGTGAATTGACCCCTAATGAACAAACCCGTCAAAATTGGAGTAAACTTCGTCCTGCAACAGCCCGATACCCCCACCTCCAGCCACACATCTGTGATTATTCATCACATTGTTCTTGCAAATAGACCCCTGATATTAGATTTACGTGAACCACAATACCTGAGGAAAGCACAATCTGAAATTTCTAAACCCCTAAAGAAGGAAAGATTCTTGTAAGAACTGACCACCCTCAAAGAACCCCCACCAGAGAGCCTACGTAATCCACAGGGTTGATATATATACCGACTCTTGATCCTTTATTCATACAAACAAACCCACTATACCTGAGCAAAGCGTCGTCTGAAGTTGCCAAATCCAACACTTGGGGAACTTTGACTATCTTGTGATGACCCAGCACCAGTGTCAGTCACAGTGCTGCGATGATTTATCAGATTCATGTAGATTTCATGGCAAGCTTGACGGATCTTGTTCTTGTCTCTCTTGGCAACATTCAACAACGGTTTCATTACATCATCTGCCCAATCCTATGAATGCAAACAAATGCACTCTTTACATGTGATATTCTAAACAATCAATTCTCCCACTGGATGTATCACCAACTCTTCATTACAGTTTCCTCAAGCAATATGCAAAAAGAACAATGCAATGAATCACTTCAGCAGATCCAAATTGAATGTGTTTTCGCTTGTACCATGGAGGAAGGACTCAGAAGGAGTTTGAACTGCCCGGGCTATAACATCTGGCCGATTACCACTTTCTGCCATGCCTGGTATGTCCATAGCCAGAGCGCAGCGCACGCCTGCTACCCACCAACCATAAGCTCCCTTTGTACCCCATGATCGTCGCCGCAATTTTTCATTGGTAATCTGCATCCCTAAAACGTTGTGTATTGCAGTGTAGGAAGTTGAATATTCATGCCATCGTTGATGCTTGATATGAACCGACAACATCATCAAATGTAGTGTTTGCGCAGTTGCTTTTATTAGGCTGTATACTCGAAGTGTTCATGTGCAGTTGTTGCCCTTATCGAACGCTTTCTTCTGGACCTCTTTTAGGAATAAATAGCCAAGCCGTTTGTAATATTTTGTGTTTTGTTTGAATCATTTTTATCATGGCATTTGTACAAAGGCATATTTTATGCAATTTCACGATCACTCCTTGTGATGAAATAGCGCATTTTATTGCTAATGAACTAAGCTTTCCAGTAGTAGTGAACATTTTGTTGGCCAGTCTTAGCCAAATTCGTTCCAAGTCTTTGACACTGATGTATATTGGACGGAGGAGACTAGAATTACAAACTTTGCATGGATAATGAAACAGTGTGTCAAAATTTAAAAAGTTTATTTATGATGGCAAAAGTAGGTCTAATATCAGGAATTTTTCTCTTTCTATTTCCTGGTCACATCAATAGTTTGTATTTAATTGCAAGCAAAAAACTACAAGTATTGCCAGGGTATTACTGGCCCCACTTGTCCAGCTACGATGCAGGCAGCAATATGGCATTTTTGGAATGTTTTCTATTATTCGTCAGACTCGGCGGCGACCATCATTGGACACTTTGAAGTGCATGAGTTACAACTCCTTCTGTGTCCTTCCTCCATGCTTGTACCTTGAATACAAATTCTGGATTGTTGAGTTGTTCAAGGGCACAAATGAAATCATCCAGAAGAGGAATACTCTCCAAAATGGCTCCTATCTTCCTTGCTGCAGAAGCATTCTTCCTCCCAGTGTTAGACTCATCAAAGGTGAAACTCTCACTGCTTATTTTGAAGGGAAAGCATAATGCCTGTCATGCAAAGGAAAGATGCGACAATATACATGTATGTAAATAATTCAAAGACCACGGCAAATTTCCCAAGAGGTTCAATATTTGTGAGGAATTTCTTGTCCTGGGGCAAAGATTTTTGACTGTGCAGTTAACACAGAGAGAAAAATGATTAAAATTCATAGATTTCTTTCAACGAACCTGTGGGTACTCATAAGCAATGTCTGTTAGGATCCCATGTACAGCAGGCCCCTCGGGCTTGTCAAGAAGTGCAACCATCTGACTAATCCATCCAATGAACATCCAGCATGGTACATCAGACACCTGCCGATGAATTCATGCATACAATAATGAAACTCCCACTGCTGCATTCAAGAAAAATTCTGGAAATTGCACCTGTCATCCTTAACAAATAAGTAAACAGCTAGTCAATAATTAGTTGACCTCCTTCCACAAAATAAGAGATATTGTAAAAAGGTAGCATTTTTGAAGAACTGTATTAAGGGAAGGGAATCTTTGAAGGGGATTTCCTTTAAAGTAAGGCATCGGTTGTCAAATGTACTGTTTTTATTATTGGAATCAATGAGTTTATAGGGCACTCTCACTGACCTATGTGACCAGATGTACATCAACAATTGTCATTGGCCAAGATCACAGTACTAAAACAGTATTTATAGGTAGGCAAGGCTTTATCAAAGCTTTATAAATAGCAAAAAGTATAAGACAATCACAAAGCCAGCATCCAGTACTGTATTGGGAAAGACAACAGTACATGGCACAAATACTGACCACTACGCCATTTGAAAAAAATATGTGAAAATATGCCCTACTATTAAGTTTACAACATATAACTTTAAGTTGCCAATAAAACACTTGCCTATGGTCATGATGGGTGATCTCTAGGGAAACCATGTGGTCACATGGTACTTTGACAGTTTTTGATCAAACACTTTACAAACCTTATTAAC